CACTTCACCATGAAGAACTTCTTTACATTGAGGGTGGCAGAGAACTAGAACAGTCTGCCCAGGGAGGTCACGGAGTCTCTCTCTGGAGACATTTAAAACTCACCAGGACAAGTTCCTGTGTTATCTGCTGTTGATGACCCTGCCTTGGAAGGGTGAATTGGTCTAGATGATTTCCAGAGGTCCCTTCCAATTCTAAGAATTATGTGATTCTGTAATTTTATTAACTTAATTTTTGGGCCTTGAAGTGTCTGAGTAAACAGCTCCACTCTTTTAATGAAACCATTTTTCAAACTCCAGCTGTGGAATATACAACAACAATTACATCCAGTCTGGTACTGGACATTACGTAGTCATGATCTGTTCTCATTTAAGAATTTAAAGTCTACTTCTATTTCAAGAACTGGAAATACTGAAGCAAGATAGATATTTATTACCTATTAGTTATTAATATTTATAGTTATTGGTAGCAATTAGTCATTAACAATAGACTTTTTTATGATGTATTTTCAGTTTCTGTTTGAGGATGATTACCTCTTTTTAGTTATTTGTATGTAATTTGATACACTTTTGAGTATATAAATCAGCCATTATTTCTTTAATCCTAAATTATTCGTTGATAAAAAGGAATCATTAAAATTCATTAAAAATTAAATGTAGATATATGAAGAGCTAAAGTTTTTTCTACTTACAATTGTAAGTTATCTTTTATTTTAAAACAAGGGAATAAGTTTTCTGGTCATTTCGATTTTCATTCATACTTCATTTTTGTGAAAATAGATTTTACCCCTAATGGAGATAGTGAAGCTGATATGTCAAATTCTTGTCTTCTCATGCAGTTGATGAATACTGCACTGTTAAACTTCTAAGATATTTCACCAGTGACATGACAGCATGAACTTCTATCTGGGAAAAAGTACTTTTTATAAATGGCGATGAAGTCAATGAAGTTTCATTTTTGAAGGGAATTCTGCATGGTTAATATACAGTATTGATTCTTATCTAAAAGGCAGAAATTGCATAGTGAGCAAAGGCAGTGGGAAACCATTGTATGAATTTGGGACATTTTGAAAAATGTCTGGCAATAGTGGTGGGAAACTCTCTATGACTTGAGCAGAAATTCTACCTTCAATGAAATCAAGAACTTTCACTGCTGATCTCTGAATCCAGCTTGTCCTAGGCCAAAAGCTGAGCTCCCACATTCCTCTCTGTTTTTTCTCCTGGTTCTCGAGCCAGATCTGCTGATGGTGATAGTTGAAAAAGCTGCTGCAGATCTTAAAGAATTTTTTAAATTGCAATTATTTGCAGAACTGTTTATCTAGTGGTGTCACTGTCTGTCCAGTTATATCATTCTGTAATAATGTATGAAAAAAAATGCACTTTCCTATTTCAGTAAAAGCACTTCATGCATTTTAATGCATTGAATCCTTAAATATCTTAAAGCATAGGTTAATGACATCTCTGTTTCAAAGTTGAAAAACACAGAAATAGATCTGCATTTTTCAAGCACCCGCAGACTGCAAGTCTCTCATAAAAAAATTGAAGTATACAAAATCAGTGACATTTTTCTGACAGTGAAGGTCATACCAAGTTGGTGGGACTGCACTGCTTAACTGCGACAGTACCAGGAAAAAAGAGGCCCAGACCTTTGTCCTGCCTTTTCTCGAAAGTGATTTTAGGGCAGGTAAAAGTTATGAAAATGTTATTAAATTGGTTATTAATTGCTCAACCATGTATGCTTTGAGCATAGAGAAATTAACAAGACATTAGCAAGGCTAAACCTCCTAAACTGGAGCTTTATAGGGACAGTTATCTGACATCTAGAAGGGCTATAGAGATAATAGCTTTTTGTCCTACTGACTTTGTTTGGGCTATAAATAGAACAAGACAAGTCTTGTTTCAGCTCATGGGCTTATCTGTTCCTGTTGGCCAGATATGTAAAGGTTTTGCTTTTATGGCAAAACCCTTAAGCTTCAGAGATCACCCTTTCCCTGTCCCCATCTTCATCATTCTTAGGAGTGCTTCTATTTTAGTCTGTGTTTCCTTGTTCAGGAAAGACTGAACCTAACCCTAATGAGGCTACTCATCTTGGTTTATAACTAGAATAGAACAGAAAAATAGATGGGACTAGACTGGACTAGACCAGACTAGAAGGTCTAAACTCAGATTTTCACTTTACTTCAAAGTAATGGAGCAATGCTCTGAGGAGATGAACAGGAAAACCTTACTATGGCAAAGGGATTCATCTCCTTGGGAGACAGACTAATTATAAGAAGTTTAAATGGAGGAAAGTTTTATGCTAACAATTTTTGCTGCTTTCACTTGGTTCAGATGTGCCAAGTAACAACTACTTAATTCTTTGGGGCATTAAGTCCTGTTAAACTTCAAGTCGAGCTAGGGGAATTCAACACTTTAAAAAATGATGCCCACAATTCTCCTTCACCTCCAGTTTTGAGCAGCTGTGTGCAGACCATCCATCACTAGCCAGGGAAGCCCTCACGGGGCGGCTGCTGGCAATGGCTTTCCAGCCCTGGTGTGACATGTCCAGTACAGCTGAGGCTGGCAGGCAGGGCAGTGTGCTGTGCAGGGCAGGGTGGCAGTGCCACAGCCCGTACTGGTGCCTCAGCCAGGGACAGACCCTGCTCTGGCAGGCAGGGGGTGGTTGGGGTTTGCATGGTGAAAACAGGCAGCTAAGTACATCAATGTTAATCATGCCCCATTGCCTGTTTTTCCCCCCATTTCCTTGTTTTTATCTCTGTAGGATTTTTCATCCTCTGAAACCAACAAAAAGATTATATTTTCCTTCAGTTTCTGAAACCCCATCCTTTTTTCCAGACTTTCCATTTCACGCTGTTTGAATTTTATTAAGATCTCTTTACACAAAAGCAGAGTACTGGCTATATGATGCCCTGAGGGATCTGAAAGGCTGCTGCCATAATGTCACAAAACTCTGGGGACATTTTATTTCCACCAGAAGCTCTTTGGAGGACTCTGTCTAAGGATATAATATGTCTTAAATGTTTACAGCAGGGATCTTGATCTCCATTGGAATTTAATACAAAAAGCTCTCTTTCAAATCTCTTAATTAGCACATCACATTAACACTGATTAAATAATACTTATCTATAAAATGGATTTTATTTTATTTCTATTTTTCAATGAAGAAAACTGGTATTATTCCAGAATTATGGATAATATTGTTAATCATGTATTCTTAAGACTGTGAATTTTGTTTTCAATATCTTAGCTGATCATCACAAAGTATTTTCACCAGGTATTTTTCAGAAACATCTCTGTTTACTGTTTCTGCCTCTGATACTTTCTGTGCTTCTCAAACACAGACATGCATAAATTCTTTGTACAAGGCTCGCAGTAGCCTGTCTCCTCTAGTGAACAGGAAAAGATTTTGTAAGTGTTAATAAGGTTTTTTCCCACTGGTCAACCTTGAAATAAGAAGCAACTGCTGAACTCTCAGCAGTCCCATACATAGCACAACAGCCCCATTCAGATAACTTTTGAAATGAAATTGTTTAGGAAGCCGTATCCTAATTTGAGAAAAAGATAAGTCCCATGAAAAAAAGTATTGTCTTTTCAAAAAGCTGCAGTATAATTGTGTGTGCATGTAATATAGTAGGACATATATTTAAATTATAATTTAATTAAAATAATATAGATCTGTATGTTCATTTGATGGAAATTTTTTTTGTAAAATTTAATGCATGAATAATCATACAGAATATGGGATGCAAATTCTAAAGATAATGCTTAAAAACCCATTTGAATGTTGAACTATTTGGGACACATTTTTATAATTTTTTTTTTTTAATTCTGTAAGTTTTGGGCTTTATGGGACCATGCTGCAGGAGCTGGGATATTAACAAAATTTGGTTTCTTTAAAACTAATGTAAACGTCCAAAACAATAAAGGAATCTGATGTTTTAAGGCAAATTAAAATCTCTCTATTGTTGATGCATGTTATGCATCAGTTACTCAAGTCAACATTTTTCTGTCACAGATAACTGAAAATCTTTACAGGAGGTATCAGACCAAATAAAAAGGATTTTTGAAATTCCATTTCTGAAACTGCAAGTAGTCTATAAAAAATATGTAAATCAGATGCTGATAATATAATGGAACTACTAATATAAATACATTGCATTGCTCCACTGGTTAACAGCATGTACATCCTCCAAATAATGGTCACACAGCAATCTAACGTTATTTCTTACTCCTATTTCCTGTATTTCCCAGACCTTTTTCTCATTGTATTCACTGTGTACCATTCTTCTTTCTCTGAATAATGCTGCAGTGATATCACAGATGAGGATAACAGCAGTTGCTCGCTCAAAACAAGAAAGTAAATTTTCTTTCTGGATGGGGTTTTTTTCATTATTTAATCTTCTTTTACAACTGTTCTTATTCTCACATGGACTGAATGGCTTTTGTTATTATCAGGATAACTTTGGATGCTGCCTCACATAAATATACTGACAGAGGTAGTAATAAATTAACCCTTTTAATGCTGTCTTTCAATGCATCATCTTTGTAGTGATTAACCATAATGGCATTTTTAGTTGATCAGTGTTCTCTTAAAATGTCAGCTTTTCAAAGTCACAATGTACTATGTATTTCTGGCATCAATTGGTTAAGATAATTAAATTTAGCTCACACTTACTGGTGCAGACATTTGGAAAAAATGACAGAAATAACTGACTCTATTACCTCAAGTTTTTATTCCATTCTAAAGCTTCTTTTTCACTATCCAGATGATGATTAAAACTGAATTTAAAAAATATGTTAATGAAGTTCTGCCCATCTCTTGGAATATGTTTTTCTCCAATGCTAAAAATAACTGCAGATCTTTGGTGTTTGGAATTTCAGAGCTTAACTACGTCTCTAAAGTTGGCATTTGTTGCTGTAAGGTATGCACTTTTTATAATAGTTAGATAAAAATTACACAATACTCATTGTTTTCTTTCCATTCTGCTTAAATCTCCCTGCAGGATGTGTGACACAGGAGAAGGGCTGTTCACCTTTCAAACACGAGAAGGAGAAATGATATATCAGAAGGTCCATTCTGCAACACTGGCAATAGCTGAGCAGCATGAAAGATTAATGATGGAAATGGAGCAGAAGGCAAGGGTAAGGTCCTTCTACCAAAAGTCTTTAAACTTATAAAAATTGGTAATAAACCAAAGTCAGTGAATTCAACTGTAACGATAGTATCAGCTGTGTTGCTAAGACAAAACAGACTTTCAGATTTATGTACTTTCATGGTTAGGGATCCTTGGTTGGTTCTGTACAATGTTCTTTTGTAGGTGTTTTTTTGGATCAGGGGATACCATTAGACAAGAGATCCATGGTCACCTTCTCTGAAATTGGGGCTCTGTTACTTAAAGATTAAACCTTTAGCTATTGTGTTGACTACCAATGAATGAGTTTTAATTGCTCCTCATGACCTCACAAGTGGAAAAAAACCCAGTATAAACATTTCTAGGTGACAGCAGACATGTTTTGTTTTTTCCTAACCCCTGAAAGAAATTATTTTATAATTTCTACATTATAAGTAACAATGCAGTTGAGTTCAAATTGAGCTATTTTATTATTTTGTGTTCAAAATTTCCAGTTTGCACAAGTTGTGTTTAAGTGAGTACTGTGGAAAAATTTAGAAATCTTTTGAGAGAGCAAGAGAAAAGCTTTCCCTGTTTGCTCAGAAGTAGAAATAATCTTTAATGGTTGCTCTGGAAAATTGACTTTCAGGCCAGGGAGCCTAGTCTGCATGCTTTTCTTCTGAGATGACCATGAGTCTCTGCATTTCTTCTTCCGTAGACAGAGATTTCAGGTTAATTGTGGCATTTCCTTCTTTTCCTTATCCACACTGTGTGTGTCTCCAGTCATGCAAACATGACTTATATGGATCTATCCCCCACACTCCACCAGTGTCAAAATACCTTTCTCACTCTGCTGAGACAAAGCTCTTGCAAGGACCTACCTAAGACCCCCAGTGTTCAATTTGTCTTAATTACTCCTCAGAGAAGTCAGAGAACCAATCAGAGAATGTTAAGGGATGGAAGTAGACCTTAAAGATCATCTAGTGCCAACTTCACCCACTGTGGGCAGAGACACAATTTTCCTTATTCATTGAAAAATAAACTAGAAAAAGAATTAGATTTCCATGTCAAAAGTCTGCTGTGTTGAATGTTCCTCTCAGACTTTCCATGTCTGTTAGAAGAACCTGAACTGGGAAGCCATAAAAAAGGCCTGGTTTTGGTGCTTTATGAAAAAAAAAGTTGGATTTTCCCATAAAATTAGACAAAGTAGGAGCCTGTGCATAATAGTGGAGGTGCACAAAGTTTGGACAGGAAATGCAGGAAGAGGAGAATTTACAATCAAGATTAATAAGGCGCAATTGCTGGAAAGTCCAGAACGAGGTGAAATAAATAGAAGACAATTTGAAGAAGTAGATCTGCTGGCAAAAAACCACTGCATTCTGCTGGGCAGAAAATGATTGAATAAGGGGGGAAAAGTAGGAAAAATGCGTCATTATTTATAATGTGTTTGCTTTTAAAGTATCTACACCAGTAACAGAACATTTTCATGCTGCCATAATAAATGCTTAGACCAGGATCATACAAGATTTTCCTTTTACAGAACCATCACTTTCAGCTCTTCCACCCATCAATTAGCAGCTCTGCTGCTTTACAAAGCCATTCCCATTCTGCCATCAGATGACTTCCTTGAAACCATATTTATGAGGGCTGTGGCCATATGGTACGCAATAACCAACTCCGAGCGAGAGCGGGCTGAGAAGCAGCAATGACTCATCAGCCACACCGTGTGTGATGCACTTGTCTCCTGGACAAGGCTGTGCTGTGATTGCACACGGAGATCAGGAGAGGCTCACAGAGGCTGCTGTGTAAAAGAGGCTGGAAAACCTGTTGGTTTTATGCTTCAGCTAATAAACTAATGTTAGTTTGGAATTGGAAACTCTGCTGCTTCTGACTGGTAGGGGGCTGAACATTTTAGGGATCATCTGCAACACTTGAGTTTTATTCATATTAAAAACAAAAACTAAAATGTCAAATAGACTAAGTACATGTTACATTCCATTTATCGAGTGTTTTTGTAGCTAATTCCAACAATTTCACCAAACACCTATGTGTATTTTTTCCAAAAGATCTGAAATTGAAATACAAGCAAAAGAATATTTTAAATCAGGTATTTAGTGGGTCTTCCCAAAGATTGACATTTGATCTTTTTTATCTATAGATCTACACTTGGGGAATTTTGCTCTTTCCTGGTCCTTTCTGTAACAAACAGCTCAAGTTTAACAGTGTTGAATTAAATTGCATATAGATATAGATTAGATAGATATAGATATAGATATAGATATAGATATAGATATAGATAGCTATATAGATAGATTATATACATATACATATACATATACATATACATATACATATACATGTGTGTATATATATATATATGAGAATTTTTTAAAAATAAAGGCGAATGCTATATCCATTATTGCACAAGTCAGAAAAAGAAAAGATATGCAACAGTAATCATTACTTCATCCTTCCAATCATTAGAAGTAATACTCCTGTGAATATTTATGTTCTGTCCTAAATGTTAAAAGGTTTTAAGTAATGAATACACTGAAGTTTCATTTAATTTTTACCAGATTATAATATCTAGTATAAAAAGTAGTATAATCTAGTATAAAAAAATTATAAAGATTATAAAAGAAATTAAAGTGATTTTTTTTCACCAGAGAAATCTTGATAAACTATATAGATTATGATTACCTTTTGAAGTAAATATACAAAGTACATCACCATGAGAATACAAAAATAGCCAAAAAAAACCAAAATAAAAAACACACACAAAAAAAAAGCCCAGAAACAAATTGTGGTAGAAGAATAAAGGTATTGCTATTAGGCAAATGCAGGTATTTAGGTATGGCCTGTGCCTGAGCATCAGGACACATTTGCTCTATTTATGGAAGTCCCTCCATCAAAAATTGTTTCAGAATGCTAAACAATAAATTCATTTTTATGCTAAAAAATCTTTTACTCAGGCCAAGCAACATGCTGGATAACTCTTAATAAGAGAGAGACATGAGAAGAAAACTGAAAGTGCATGGGCTGGAAGCAAAAATGTTCTGTGGCCGCTTGTACAGTAGCAAATCTGCCTCTTTGTCACCTCTAGCAGGAGAAGCCAAGCCAGTTTAAGCAGGCAGTCATGTGCACACTTTCATCTTCTGCCCATTTTCCTTTCGAATTATAACCCTGGAAGAAAGACCTGAAATATGAGATCAGTAGTCACTGGCATGGGTGTGGATTTGAGCTGGTTATTGGTTTTGCTGAGATCAAAGCAGACTGGATTTTATTCCAAAAATTCAGCAAAGTGGACATTGATCTAATTTAGCTCAGGTGGTTTTCTTGATTGAATTGGAAATGTCGCATTGGCAGAGCGATAGTGCTTTGTGCTTGCTTTGTTTGGGACAAAAAAAAAAAAATTGAGTCAATGATAGTACTTAAATTGAAATTATTTTTAGGGAAATTGTTACTTGTATATTCATTTTTTTCAGTCTTTGCTTTTTCAATGGATCACTGTAATAGAGATGATAATTCTGCTTTGTAGGGTTTTTTTTTCGTGGGAGAGAGAGCGATATTGCAGTGGTTTTTAGTGATTTTAGTTCCAATACGACAAATTTAAAAGAACAATGACAGTCTTTCTCTTTACATGCTTTTATTTTGTGCTGTTGTGTTACCCACATGAGAGTGTCTTTCCTTTCATCACCTGAATAAACCTCCTGTTTTTTTCCTCTGTCCCTCTCCCTTTCTGCCCTCTGACCCCTTATTTGTTTGGGTTTTTGTTTTTTTTTTTTCTCTGTAACATTTAGAAATCTGTTTGTATTGTTGGTCTTGAAATTATTGTGCAAAAAATAAAAAGTGTTAGCCTCAGGAACGACCTGTATCCCCCCCCTGGCTGCAGTCCGATGCTGAGCCTGGAAGATGCATGTCTGTCTAACAGCTGTCTCCATCACCCCTCCCCAGTCCCCAGAATGGACTGCAAGCTCCTTCCGCTTCCTTTCTCTTAACATAGGTGCTTATCTGACTGAGCCAATTCAATTTACTAGTTTGACAAAAAAATAGAAACCAACAAAACAACCAAAAAACCACACCTGCCTAAAAGGGGCAGGCTTCTTCAGGCTTACCAAACTGAATTGGCTTACAGAGGCAGCAAACCATTGGATCTTCTCAGTTGTCCTGCGCTAAGGAGAGAAAGAAAAAGAATAATTCGTCCCCCATAAATGCTTCATCTAAAAGAAGGCTGAGTATCCTCCTCTTTGCCATCAGGAGGTGATGTTGGGTTTGGTGATCCTTTTTTAAAGAATTGGTATTCAGATGGTTTTTACACATGAGCATATGAGCATTTGTTCTCAGCAGCACTTGTCTGTCTAACCTCTACACCAGGATGACAACATGGCACTGGAATTTTAATCTCTAATTTTCCTTTCTAATGCCAGCTTTGATCTTCTGCCATTTAACTTCCACTGAAAACACTTCTAATGTAGCTTCTGCCCTCACTGTTGTTGAAGGGTAGAAAATGGCAGGTTAAGATCTGTAGATTTCCTGTGTTAGGACTACACACATGAGGGAGGAATTCTGAGGAAATACTTATACATTTGTAGCTCTACAAATTACTTCTTTCAAGAGCTGCCAGTAAAAACTTATTGTGTATTTGCAAAAGAATAAAAATTTACAATATGTAAAACAATAAGCCTAAATAAGATAGCACTAAAGTTGATGTTAGCCAGCTGAACTTAATCAAACATCAGTAAGATGGAAGTGGAAATGCAGGAATAAATTATGATGGCCCAAGTTTCATAACTTATTATCTTTGGAACTTTCCTATAACATTTATTTTATTTTTGACAGCAGAGCTAAAAGCCATTTTAGATTGCGATCTTTTTAACATTTCCCAGAAGATAAACACCCTTATAAAACACTGCCTCGGTATATTTCTATTCTCATTATTTACAAGTCCTGTCTTTAAAATTCAACTTAATATAAGTGAAAGAGTCATCATGATAGATTTCTGTTATTAATAAAAAAAAGGATAATATCAAG